GATGTTTTTAGCAAAGACGCAGGGATAAGCATTGGGGAGAGGTATTCCAAAGTGAATCATCTCGCGCACGAAACAAGAGAATAATTTTCCCACAAGGATAAGCCGATGGTGATGCGATTGAAAGGATCCGTCCAAAAGCTCTTCGTCACAGTATGCTGGAGTGATGCCTCTTTGCAGTTGAAGACGGCGGATCGATTGACAATCAAGCGATGTCAGTGGCACTGTGTCCTAGCAAAGCCGAATTTCTTTCACTTGTGTATCTCCCGTGGACCAGGAGTCGCACAGAGGCTGTCACACAAGAGGAGGCGCCAAGTACACGATACCTGTCGTGCTACCACGCAACAACGGGCCGGTTCTGCACGCTGACGTCGTCTTTTCCCCCACAGTTGGCGATTTCCGTATGGCCGCGATGGGATTCGACACCAACACCACATGCCACCGTGGTCGGGGCTGGCTGGCTGGAACGGGCCTCCCACCCATCCTTGCGCCCCCCCTTTGGCGATTTCCCCTCCCCCCCATCGTCACCATGCCCTCCCACCTGATAGCTTCGTCTTCGATGAGGTGATAGATCACCGAGGCTTGTAATCCCTCTGAGCGACCCTGACGCCAAGAGCGCAAATGGTCAGACGAGGAACAAGGCCTGTATGGCGAGATTATCCTGGGAGAACACCCGCTACTGGTCCGCTTCCCACAGTTGCGCCAGTCGATCCATTTGACACCCAGCGGAGGGGCCGATCAATGGGCAGGTCGGGGCGCCGGATGTAAGCTGAGCGTGAACAAAACGATATGCGCCTCGCAATCAAGGTTTGGGGAGAGAGCCTGCCTGGGCCAGGACCCTCTAGCGGCACCGCTAATCACGAAGGGTGGAGGGGGTCCAGGGTTGTACCAGGATAAGGTATGGGCAGAGACGAGACACTACGCGAGCGCGATAGCCGTCTCTTCAGCTCGAGTTTTCCGCGGGGATTGGTGTTGACAGATGCCACCTGCTGAGGAGTTAAATCGATCGGCCGTTGCTTGCTGTTCGCGTGCCCGATGCTGCAGGCTTGCTTCAGCATCGCCTGCTGCGATGTTTGGCCGCGAATTATCGCCCAGGTATCCAGGCGCACCTGGCGTCCGAGGTAGTGCTTTTGGAACGGGACAGGACCATCGTGGTCGAGTGCCAGATTGCGGATAGCATCGCCAGCATGGGCTACAGACGTGAGAAAGAGGAGAAGTCAACAGCGTTAAGTAAAGCTTACGGCTATCATCGAGCTCGTTGCCTGCGTTGTACCGCAGCCTGTAGCAGATAGTGGTGTACATTCGGCCCAAGATTTCGCCGACCCTCTAGATGGCCGTGGGGCGGGCACCAGCGGGAGCAAGCAGGAGAAGAAACAAAATCAAGAGAATACGGAGCTCGCCGAGGTCAAATGACTTCTTGATTGTGCTCACCGTTTTCTCGATCTGCTCTTTGAGGTCGTTGATTATCATACATCGATTTTCCCTTTTCTTATTGCTCAGTTCCTTAGCCTTGGGCAGCTTTCGCAAAGCCTGAGTTGTCAGAGAATGAGATTGACTGTAGAAGCTGCGGCATACCTTATGCATTTGGCGGTTTAGTTTCGGGTCGAACTTCACGGTCATGGCCCTCTCGTAAACGAGGCGGAAGACCTTCCAATACGTGCCAAGTGCACTGTTGGTCTTGATGCCCTTGATCTTCCTGCCCCCCTTGCCCGTCTGCAGGTCGAGTCGCCATGTGAAGAAGCTGACGAGTATGCCGAGGGAGATCGACTCGAGTTGTCTGTGGGGATCACCGAACTCGTTCTCCTTGCAGAAACTATAGCTCTCGTTAGCTTAGATGTAGGGGCGGAAGGATGTCGAACCGCACCGTTGCCAATGATCCTCGAATCCACTGAGGAGGATCTCTGTCCCAGGACTGTAGTCTTGCGCGTCGAAATCGCTATTGTTGACCTCTTCTACCATACGGCGGTTGTACTCCGAGGAGTGGACGGTGTCGATGTCGATGAGGTCTGCGTCTGCAAGATCCGCAACGAACTCTTCAAGGCCCGCGACGTCGACTTGGCCGTCGGCATCGGGGAGAGGGTCAACCTCGGTGATTTCGGTCTCGGCATCGGAGGCTTCAATATCCATATCGAAGATGGAGTCCTCAGGTGAGAAGGAGCCGTCCGAGCCGTACTTATCTTCACTGGAGCGCTGGCGGCGGGGCATGTTGCATGTGAAACTTGGCTGGGTGGGTTGATATGCGTATTTAGTTGGAGCCTCGTGGTCGGCAGGTCATGAATAGGAAGGAACACGGCCATTGTGCTACCGAAGAGGGCGGGAACGACTTATGTGTGATTGAAAGAGCCATTACTGACTGCTGATGGAAATGAGCCTGGGCGCTGGAGGAAGAGCCAGAGTCCAGGATCAGGGGGGCCCACGCCAGAGCTTTGGGGGTAGACCGACATCGCGGCTGGCTCAATCCAGCAACTCCTGTGGAGAAGAGACTTGCCAAATGGGGCAGCGCATGGCCTCTTGAAGGCATGCTCTGGCCCGTTTTTGGCAATGCCTTGATGGGCAATTTGCGCTTTTGACCATGAAGGCATCGGACGGAGACCGCGGGCAGAGTGCCACATGGGAAATGCGTAGAGTCCGCAAGGCGGCTCGGCTCGGAGACTCAGGAGAGTCAGAGGTTTCGTGCGCCGCTGCAAGGTGGCGTCGTCACGATGTTCAGCGGTCCGAGCCTCTGGTTCGACTGCGGCCACCACGAGAATGATCTAGACCCCTCCATTTCCCGGACATCTTGCCATGAGGGTCACGAACCCAGTCACTAGGCACGATGGGTTGTACCCAAGAGTTGTGGTCCTGCTGATCAGGAACCGCCGGTAGCGTCGGGGCCGACTCATGCTGTGCCATGTTGATCGGAGCCTTGTTAGCCCAGGTCAGCGATTCGACCTCGTTGTCATCCGTACGCACTGGGGCCTGCTCGTACCTTGGCGGTATTCTACCATCTCGAAGGACACGACCGACCACCGTTTGCACAAGCCAGGATCGGCAGTGAGGCAAGTGGCATGTGTGTATGCTGCCCGTGCCCTGCCGTTTCGAGACTGTATTCTACCGTTCCTCGCCGCGCCCGTGTCGCTCAGGGATAGCGTGAACCCAAACGACTTGGAGCCTCGTTGGCATGTCCATGGAAGCGAGGGCCAACCTCTGGGCTTCCATCAAGGCCGGCACCCAGCCAGGGTCGCGCCGATCTGACGCCCGTGGCGCACACTGTCCAGGGCTTCATCGACCGCCGCGAAGGGCGAGGAAGATAACAATCTAGTGCTCTCCGATGTGTCGATACAGCGGGCGATTAATGAGATCGTGGCGTGCTCACCTTTCTCCGCTTGGCGCCGGATGCGCCCCATATCTCACCAAATCCAGTGCTGCCGTCCCCGACGCAGCCAGTATTCCGGCCGACAGAGGGCCAGAACATTGTGGAGCTCTTTTAGAAACGGCAAACACACTCGTTCGTCTCGGCGATTTCCATACTGCCCAGCTGCTGAGCCGAGACGGCACGATGCCCGGACAGAATGACCAAGGAGGGCATAGAGACGGTTTCCGGTTCCTGCGCGCAGCGGCGCAACACGAGGATACAGAGGCGCAAAGAACAGTGAAGATGTGCGGAATTGGTTCAGCCCGAAGCGCAAGAATGCGTTGCCAGTTTACCGCCCTACTCCTCCTGGGTCAGGTAGAGAAGACATATTAGAGACACAAGGTATCAGCTCGGTCACGTGTTGCGATGTTTAGTCACGAGAAGAACGTCGAAAGGACAATAAACCATGTCATCAAATATGCCTCTATTTCCGTTGGTCGGCTTCAAACCTGAACCCATGCGTCGCCTTGCTTGCTACGTCAGTCGAGCAGCTTCCTAACAATGACGACGCCTCGTTGCTGCCCACCTGCCGGAGCAACTGACCTGGCATCTGCCTCGCCCGCTTCAGTCAGATACCGACACGCAAGGACCAACTCTGGCGGGGTAATGCGAAGGAGTTCCTCGGCGATAGCTTCAAGCCTGCTAATCTTTATAGATTTTTTTTTTGCTTACGGCTAGGTTATGGTATAATTTGCATGATTTGGGCGTCAGGATACTTACATGAGTCGCTCTGCCGAGTTTGTCAAAGTAACGAACAAGAACGGTGATGTTTTGGCAAGCGCAGCGTAGCGAGCCGCTCGACGGCAAAACTCTTGGAACTTGGGTCGCTGTGGCTTGCCGCTAGCCTCGATGAAGATGCTCATGGCTATGGTAGTATCCCTATCGGTAGGCGTTCTTGCAAGAGAACCGTCCCGTCGTTCTGATCTGACCTTGTCTCTCAATGCGGCCAATACCCGAGTAAGTTACACCCAGGCCAGCCTTTCAAGTTCGACGTCCGAAGTTTCACCCAAGGTTCGCAGAGTCTTCTCTCAGGCACGGATGGAGTCCTTGACTCGGGCGTCCTCACAGAGGCAGCCGTCGGGCAGCGCAGTCTCTCGCAGCAGAGTCGTCCATTTCCCGAGGATTTCGCCACATCGTTGGGAGAATAATCGGCTAGCATTTTCCACAAACAAGGCCTTTGCGGAACCTTCGTCTGTTGTGGGTTGTTGTGCGGTGTCCATCGTTGCTGGCTGAGACAACCTAGCGAACATGGGTCTGTAGTTCTGTAGCGCTCTATTTAATCTCACACACAAGAACATATCCGAGAGCGCCGCTCCAGGGATATGTTCTCTCAGCCTTTGCCCGATCCTAGATCCCGGTGCAAATGGATGTCGAACATGGGTCCAACTGCGATGCCTGGCCTTGGGGTGTGGAGGACGCCTCCCTGTGCCATTCGTCATGGAGCCAGAATCCGGGATACCGGTGTCCCTGTGCAGTCGACGATGGAGGGCTCCTCCCGTGCCATGGGACAGGGAGCCAGAATCCGGGACATGGGCGTGGGGGCCCGTCCGCGATGGTTCGGCGGTCACCTTGGGCTTTCCAGCGCCCGGGCGCAGCATGCATGTCAATGCCAGGAGGACATCGACCTACCAATCATGCGGAGGCCCCCCAACCACTAGACCCAGGTCAGGTTGACGCGTACCTTTAGTCTCCATGTCACTGCGTACCTCATCGCCATATAGAAGATCAGATAAAGATAAAACTGCGGATCAGGATTGGTCTGTTACAGCTGCGCAACGCCTCATACCTCCCGACCAGCACAGTCAGTCAGATGAGCAACAGGAGGAGATTCGAGAGCATGATGCCAGTGGAATCGAGGTTTTGATGTATATGAATTCCCTTAGAACAGTTGCGTTTGACCGTGCGCGGTGCGACGATTCAGACAAAAACAGCGAGAGGACCGAGACGGAAATGACACCCCGCTAACTATCCCGCCATCCTCTCTACCTCTATGTGCTTATTGGTGAGCGACTGGCAGCCGAATGCACTCAGGGAAGACAGGGACAGCAAGCTCCTGGATGGACATCGTGTCCAGCGACATGTTTGCGTGGGCCGAAGCCTGGACGACCACTAGAGAGATTGCAGGCCGACGATGCAGGACGATCGGTGATTACCCATTGCTTCTGACATGAGTGTGACCTCTGGGTCAATTGGTCTAGTTCCCAGCTTGTGGTCCACTTTCGGGGGAAGTCGTGGCGCGAGGCGTCGCGGGTTTCCGACCATAGATGAGATGCCTTGATCTCGTCAGCGAATGCTCCATATTCAAAGTACGGGGGTGGTCGGGCTGACATGTCGCCATTCGTGAGATTCTTGCGACTGAGGACCGCAGCGCGCATTTGAGCCACCAGGACTTGGACTTCTTCTATGCTCCAACCCAAAAGTTGGCCGACCGGGAAGACAGCGAAGCCGTCTAAGCTTAGGTCGAGATAATGCCCGGTATATGAACCCAGCTCCTTGAGCTTCGCGTCTTTGGGCCAGGAACCATACGGGATCTTGAACTTCCTGTGAACCACGTCTGTGAACCCTGCGTCGGCGGCCCAGTCGTCCAGGATATTGCCCGAGAATCTGAAGGTACGACCGAGCTTATCCCCAGCGTCGTAGAAGAGCTGAGCCCAGCGCTGGAAAATGCTGCATGTCCTGTCAGTGTCTCAGGCTTAAAGACGTGACAGCCCGGCTGTGGCAGATGGAAATGTTCGGAGGGCCCACTGGTCTTTGTTGACGGTGACTGCCGGATTGTCACTACGTAGCTCAATGTCGGGCTCCAGGTGCTGGAACCAGCCACCCGGCTTTAGGAACTTGTAAATCTGTTTGTACAACCTGGGCCAATCGTCAATGGCGCCCTGCAAGTAGCGGACGTGGATGAAGTCGAAGGATTCTGGCGCAAAGGTCCAGTCCAGCTGAGCGTCTTCGATCTGGAACTTCAAGTTGGGCGGGACCCAGCCGGGCTGTGTGGGCGTAATGTCGGTGCCGATGATTTCCGCCGAGGGGTGTTCGTCTGCTACGTCTCTGGGCAAGGCTCATCAGCGTTGGCTTTGTACGGGAGCAAGCAGAAACGTACATGGCCCAGATGCCGGAGCCGGTTCCGACGTCCAAGATTCGCTGCAAGGAAAAATGTCAGGGCGGAATCACGGGGATCTGGATGGGAGCTGACCTGGGGGTTGTCTCCAATGGGGGCAAGGTAGAGCTTGTCGTCCAGCATCTTGGTGATCCAGTGGTGCCTGCAGCGGCCATGTGAGCATCCATGCGGCAACGCCGTTGGCGGCACTCACGCGACATCGAATCCCTCGAGATGTTGGTCGTCATTTGGGGCCCTGTCACCGAATCCACGTGAGCTCAGGCGCTAGACGCGACAGCAGCGCCTTCCCAATGCCGACGCACCAATAGTCAGTCGTACTGGAAGACGCGAAGGTCCTGCCATTGATCTTCCGATACTCCAGGATGCTGGAAGTGATGGAAGCGGTGGACGACAGAACGCTGTGGCGGTCAGTGACAGCCGTGAACCTGAGAGGTCGGCTGTCTGGATGCGGACCTTTCACTGTCGTCGCGATCGGTTTCGCCCTCATCTTGTGCGACTTCGGGATCCTGGGTCACCATCAGTAAGTATTCGCCGCTTTGGTTTCTCGGCGCGGTGGTTTACTGACAACCTCAAAATCACCATGGCTCGGGGATCCGGGCTGCAGCTCGTGGGACGCAGACATGACTGAAACGATTGCTGGCTCGCTGTTCAGAAGGAGGATGGATTTGAGGGTGAAGTGAAGGTGGTGTGGTCGGTATTTACCCCTCACCATCGGGTAGTCTAACCAGCTGGCTTCCTTTGTGGGGCGGTCCGTGCCCAGTCTGCGTGGCGTAGCTTCTGTAGGTAGTCGTGAGGCTTGTTCGGCGCACAACGGCCGAGGCTGACCTGTCTGTACAAGCCACGATGCGTGATCCCCCTTCCCAACCCTTCTCCTCCATCGATAAGGCGGATGTCTGTCTCTTCTTGGCAAGACGGCAATGCTGATAAGACAAGGAATAGGTTGTCCCGACTTGGCTTGCATGCTCTGCTGGACCAGGCGTCAATCAAAGCTCAGGAGGCGACTCCGCCGATTGTGTCGGCGATGTGAAGGCGACCATCACAGCGGCATGCTCACCCCTTCCCACGCGTTGTTCATCCTCCCCGGGACCGCACAATGCCGCACCACTAATATCACAACGAGTACCCCAAATCAGACACTGCCTATTATCCGGAGATCAGCAGCTGCCTCAATGGGAAGTTGCCATAACGGGCAATCTGGAAGCCACGCGTACGACCTCGGCAAGGCCTAGGCGCAAGCATCGTCAACATTTTTTGCAGGGATGATGTGGTTGTACATGGTGCCGGTCCTTGGGTCATCCACTAGCCCGTTTTGGTATTGCCCAAGGGGGGATTTTGCATGCTCGAGGCATCATCCTGGATAACCGAAGGAGGGAGGGTTGCAGCTCGGAAAGGGGTGTGGACGCACCCTATCTCAGCTGCTTGTGGCCTCTATGCGCAAGAACCCTGTCCGTGGCAGCTCCTCGTGAATCTGTCTTTGATGATGTTGGTTGGCATCTTGGAAGGGCCGTAATACATCACTGTCGACCATATACTCGCTTCCGAAAGCACGGGGAACAGTGCCAACCAGCCTTCTTCCCTTATGGCGGCGGAGCTCTGAGTCTCTTGAGTCCTCCTGACGATGGACCTCGTCGCTCTCATGTAATGCCCAGAACAAGGCTATCAGGTTACCTATAACGGAAATTCCTGTTAGGGAAGCTGCTCTTAAGGAGTGGCTAACTCCCAATCTACGTAGCAGTTCGGCCTCACCGGACGTGAGGAGAGGGTCTGGGGTCTAGGATGAGGGATCGACAGCCCTCTGTGCCAACGGCAGTGAGGCTCTCCATCTTGCTCCGTCAGCTCTCCCCCAAAGGTTGCCCAGACCGGAGCCAGGAACTCCATACCAAGGCCGGGCGCGGAGCGCGTTCTCGGCTGGAAACATCGGATAGGACTCTGCCAACTAGCATCCTAGTTGACGTGCTGCGATGGGCGAGTGATGCTAGCGATGTAGGCTCGCTGGCGTTCTTACTTGGGCTACTGTGGCGGTGTACTGGGGGGGCTTCATCTTTAGAGAATCGCGTGGCCACAGCGCAAGGGCAGTTCTCCTACCAACGGCGCTATACTGACGCTGGAGTCTGAGTCGCCCGTCTGCCGAATGCTTGCGTGTGACTGGGGACGTTTGGGACCGGCGGTACTACCTGTGCCTATTAGCTTGCTATACCGCTCATGACAGGTGGGAAAGAGGGTCATTGCTAGTATCGCTGATCCGTCTAACCTCCGTTCTGCGGTTGGGCCAGTGCTTGCGAAGCTTCATGGGCAGGGCATGCTCCGTCCGAGTGGTGGCCGCGTCGGCGGGCGTCGCAACCATCCGCCCGCGACGACATCACGGTTAGTCGAGGGTTGAGCTGCGGCTCAATCTGGCGACGTAGAAGACTGCCAAGGATGGCCCGAGTGGGTCCTATGCAATTTACATGGGGATACTTGTCTGACAGACAAGTGGGGCAGCACCTGAGCAATGCCCATAAAGCGGCGACGACTTTACAGCGAGTGGCCTGTAGAATGTAGCGGTTAACGCTACCTATGCCGTCTTATTCTCTAAGAAAGTATTTTAAGTTTATTTTATTAGTATATATTATAGATAATATAGGAGGTATTAGCCAACAACTAAGGGTATTACTTAATTATAGAATAAAGAGATAATAATAAATAAGAGGAAGGGAGAGATAAAAGTAATTATATTTTAAGAAAGAGATATTAGATTAAGGAATAGATTAAAGATTCTTATAGCCTTTAATAAGAGCTATAAGATAATATATTTTTTATTTAGATCGAAAGTAAATAAATAGAAAAATAATTAAGAAGAAAGTTATAATTAATTAAGAGAAATACTTAGATTAATCCTAATAAGAATAAAATATATCTTAGAAAGTATTTATTTATAATAATTAAGAATATATAGATTAAATAGGAATTATTATATAAAAGGGATTTATAAATATAATTAAAATTAGATTATTATTAAGATCTAAAAACCTAAAAAATAAGTCTAAGGAATACCCTCTATTATAATAGATTAACCCTTAATAGCTATATATAGATAAAGCGCTTAGATTACCTCTAGACCTATAGGGGAAATAGGGTTAGATTTAAGCTCTTATTAATTAAATATAAGAGAACTTAAATATTTATTATTATAGAATAGCTCTATAGAATATTATAAAAATTATATTATTCTATAGTTTTAGTTTTTCTCTATTTTATAATATATATATTATTATAGTTTAGCTTTTATTTAAGCTATTAGAGTAATTATAAGACTCTAACTCCTTATAACTCCTATAATAATTTTAAGAGTTATAAGGGGTTAGAGTATTATAATTGCTCTAATAGCTAAAATAAAAGCTAAACTATAATAATAGATATATTATAAAATAGAGAAAGGTCGTAGCTATAGAATAATATAATTTTTATAATATTCTATAGAGCTATTCTATAATAATAAGTATTTAAGTTCTCTTATACCCTATTAATTAGAGCTTAAAATCTAACTCTATTTCCCCTATAAGTCTAGAAGTAGTCTAAGCGCCTTATCTATATATAGCTATTAAGGGTTAATCTATTATATATAGAGGGTACCCCTTAGATTTATTTTCTAGGTTTTTAGATCTTAATAATTATCTAATTTTAATTATATTTATAAATTCCTTTTATATAATTTTATTATAAATCGTATAATCGATATAGGAGGTATTAAGTAATAACTAAGGGTATAATTTAATTATAGAATAAGGAGATAATAATAGATAAGAGGAAGGGAGAGATAAAAGTAGTTATATCTCTAGAAGGAGACGTGAGTCGAGAAATAGATCGAAGATTCTTATAGCCCTTAACGAAAGCTATAAAATAGTATATTTTTCGTTTAGATCGAAGGTAAATAGGTCGAGGGGTAATTAGAAGAAGGTTATAATTAATTAAGAGAAGTACTTAAATTAATCCTAATAGGAGTAAAGCGTATTTTAGAAGTGATATGAATAGCTAGGTGGAAGGGCCTGCCCTGTGGCCGTGCCTTGAGGCCGCCTGTGGCCTAGTACGTGGCCTGGCCTATGGCCCTGCCTGAGGCCTGAGGCCTATGGCCTGGCACGTGGCCTGACTTGTAGGCCCGTGCCCACTTACCTATATATATGCCTACGTGGCCTTCCAACCCAGGTAGACCAATTCATCTATCTTATACCTATAGAATAGCTACCTAGCATCTATTATATATTCCTAGCGTGACGCCTGCCTAGTCCCCAAGACCCGACTCTATTACTAGCCACATTAGAGCCATAGCTATTTCTATATATAATAAGAAGGTATCTATTCTTAATAGTTAAGAACGTATAAATTAGATAGGAATTACTATATAAAAGGGACTTATAAGTATAATTAAAATTAAATAATTATTAAGATCTAAAAACCTAAAAAATAAATCTAAGGGGTGCCCTCTATATATAATAGACTAACCCTTAATAGCTATATATAGATAAGGCGCTTAGATTATTTCTAGATTTATAGGGAAGTAGAATCGGATTTTAACTCTAGCTAATAAAGTATAAGAGAACTTAAATACTTATTATTATAGAATAGCTCTATAGAATATTATAAAAATTATATTATTCTATAGCTATAATCTTTCTCTATTTTATAATATATATATCGTTATAGTTTAGCTTTTATGAAAGCTATTAGAGTAATTATAAGACTCTAGCCCTTATAACTCCTATACCCTCTTATAAGGTAGTATATATATAGGTATATAAATATAATAGCTTATATATTTAGAGGATAAAAAAAAATAAAACCTTATAATATTATTATATATAGGGAAAAAAAATTAAAACCCTATAATATAGAAAATAAATAAAAACTATATATTATATTATTATAGGAAAATCTAAAAATAAAAAACTTATCTTATTATAATAGGAAAATCTAAAGATAAAAAACCTATTTAATACCTAATTTTAGGTACTTTACTATATTTAGGCTACTTATAGTCTATAGGTATAGTATTTAGACTCCTTATTTATATATATCTATATAGGGTATTATAAGTTATCTTATTTAAGCCCTTAGTAAGTATATCTACTATATTATATTAAATATATATATAGAAAAGCTATATTTTCTTATCTTTTAATAGATTTTAATAATAATAGAATTACTTATTTATATACTTAATCTTTTTATAGAATTCAGGATTTTTAATTATTTTCTTAGCTCCTTTATTATCTATTAATAAAATAGGTATTTTAGGTTTATTTAAACCTAGGCTTTTAGATATTTCTAAAAAAAATAGAAAAAATATATATAGCTTTTTTAGAGGCTTTATATAAAGCTATATATTTAGCTTTATAAATAGATAAATCTATTACCTTTTATTTAGCTAAAACTTAGCTTATAGGGTTATTAATTCCTAAATAGAATATATATCTAGAAGTAGAAGTTCTATCTTCTAATATATCGCTCTAGCTAGAATCGCTATACCCTATTATATCCAAGGATTTATTATAAGTATATATAAGACCTATATCTAGATATTTATTTAAATAAGCCTATATTCTATT